TGGTTGAGAAAGTGGACACTGCTACCTGGTCAGCATGTGCCAGGCAGTTGAGCCAATTGAGTCGGATGAAAATGGAATCGGATATGAAGAAATTAGGCAAAGATGGGTCACAATACTCATATAATTATGCACCGACGTAGGTTGTGTTCCACAGATGCAGCTTCGAGGCTGAATCCGTGTACTGGTATGGAAATGGTTGAGAAAGTGGACACTGCTACCTGGTTAGCATGTGGCCGCGCAATTGTGGGAAATTGGTTGAGAAGGTGGACACTGCTACCTGGTTAGCATGTGCCACGGAGTTGAGCCAATGTCACCCGGATGGAAATGAGAATCCGAGTTATTTACAATTTAAGGCGAGATGGGTCACAATACTTATAAAAGTATGTACCAAATTAGGTTGTGTTCAGCATGTGCCACGGAGTTGAGCCAATTGAGTCGGATGAAAATGGAATCGGATATGAAGAAATCAATAAGGTGAGATGGGTCAGAATACTTATAAAAGTATGTACCAAATTAGGTTGTGTTCCCTATAGAGACATGGGTCACAATAATTTCGGATGTATGTACCAACTGACGTTGTGTTCCACAGATGCAGCTTCGAGGCTGGATCCGTGTACTGGTATGGAAATGGTTGAAGCTGGACACTGCTACCTGGTCAGCATGCGCCACGGAGTTGACCCAATTGAGTCGGATATAAAGAAACTTGACACTGCTACGCTTTTGGAAAGTGCCGCGGGGTTCAGCCAATTGAGTCGGATGAAAAAGATCATTGCTACCTGGTTAGCATGTGCCACGGAGTTGAGCCAATTGAGTCGGATGAAAACGGATACAGATGCAGCTTCGAGGCTGGATCCGTGTACTGGTATGGAATTGGTTGAGGAAGTGGACTGTTACCTGGTTAGCATGTGCCACGGAGTTGAACCAATTGAGTCGGATGAAAATGGAATCGGATATGAAGAAATTAAGGCGAGATGGGTCAGAATTCTCATAGAAGTATGTACCGAATGAGTTTGTGTTCCACAGATGCAGCTTCGAGCCTGGATCCATGGACTGGTATGGAAACTGTTGAGAAAGTGGACACTGCTACCTGGTTAGCATGTTTCACGGAGATGAGCCAATTGAGTCGGATGAAAATGGAATCGGATATGAAGAAATTAAGGCGAGATTTCTCAAAATGCATATAGAATTATGTACCAACTGACGTTGGGTTCCACAGATGCAGCTTCGAGGCTGGATCCGTGTACTGGTATGGAAATGGCTGAGAAAG